AAAGCTTATGCCCAAATAAATCTGTTCGTCTTTAAGGTGCCACCGGACTCCTCCTTGTTTTTGTGGATACAGACTAATACGGCTACCCCCGATACTTCTGGTGATAGGGGCTTGAGCCAGGTCATCCCTTTTTCATTAAAAGCTAATAGCTAGGTGGTTAGGACACTTGCCTGGGAGGTAGGAGACCCAGATTCAAATCCCCATTCTACCCAAGGTAGAGCAGGAACTTGAACTTGCATGTCCCAGATCCTGGAGAGTGCCCTAACTGCCAGACTATTAGGTATTATGGAATAAGACTCTTTGAATCTCTATGCTTAAAGTTGTTCCACTTTGTATAAATAATTAAATACCTATTGGTCCAGAAAAAGAGACTGATACTGTAACCCAGTGGCCAAGCCCCACCAGGGATATGGAAGACTAGAGTTCAAAGCCCTGTGCCTAAGCAGGTAGAGTAAGGATTCAAACCTACATATGCCACATCCCAGGTGAGTGCCCTAACTACCAGGCTTTTGGGTATTCCCTGAACACCCACACACCATCTGCCTCTTGTGCAGAACCCAACACTGTAGGTGTGCTCTGAGCATGCCTATAGGTTTGGGACCCGCTGCCAAGATAGGTAGGGGAACAACCAATTTTAGAATCCCACTTTGTGGCCACAGGGTCTTTAGCTTGTGCTAGGCTCCAAGCAGCTAGTTAGTTGTGGAGTGGCGTCAGGACTCAGGCAGCTTTATACCTGCCCACCAGAGACTTTGGTACCTAGGTGGTTAGACAGCAGTTGCACAATGGTTTTAAGAATCTAAGTGGTGCCTAAATGTTGGACTTCAATACCTTCATGAATCTGGCCCTATGGGACTGCATAGGTGGCACAAGCCTACCTTAAATGTAAACATTAAAAGAAAATTGTTACATGCTTTATCAGGGAACCAGACCATTATACTTGGAAGAGACAGCCTCAATTACATCTTTGGCGTTTTCTGTCTATGAACCTATGAGACAGAATGAAGAGAGGAAGAAAAAGAAAGAAAAAAATGTGTCCACATTGTCCAGTTCAGGGATAGCCACAGTGCGTCACACGGATCACACATAGCCCTCCAACACTTCTCATGGGACCTGTTCCCCACATTGTAATTCTGCACAAAATAAATGTCCAGATTTTCTCCTCTCCACAGCAGCTATGATACAGTAACAGTTAGACAGGCCAGCACCAGCTTCCATTTGACTTTTGCTCTGCTCACCTCCTGCAATGTCTTTAGATAAAAAAGTCCTTATTTAAAAACCAAAAAACCCATAGAAGAAAGTCCTATGAGGGGCACTCTTCCTCTATGGCATTTTTCTTTTCTACTTCAAGCAGGATGGAGCTGCTATTCTAGCTTCTCTAGACCTTTTAATGACATTAGCTTGCCTGACAGGAATCTGAAGATTTGTCTCCATAAGCCAATCTCAACCCCTGTAGGGCATACATGTTTTCTAGCCCATTTTCTTTATAAATCAAGTGTCTCCTCCTTGTCATTGCAGGAGAGCACAAACCAACAATTTCTAATGTGTTTCAGTAGCTTATTCAATAAATTGCATCCCTATCCTCAAGCTGCTAAGGATGTCAGAGCCCAATCAATATTTTTCCTTCTCAGAGATTTCGCCAACAAGTTGACCAATGTGTGCTCTATCCCAATTTCCTTCCTTGATAGCTCAGTGGTTTGAGCATTGGCCTGCTAAATCCAGGGTTGTTAGTTCAATCCTTGAAGGGGCCACTTTGGGATCTGGGGCAAAATCAGTACTTGGTCCTGCTAGTGAAAGCAGGGGGCTGGACTCAATGACCTTTCAAGGTCCCTTCCAGTTCTAGGAGATAGGATATCTCCACTAATTTACAGTTCTGACCATGTTCTGCTTTCCACTTTGGATTAGGAAACAAACCTGTTGCACTTTATGGAATATAAAGTTTTAGTGTACACAGTGCATGGATTAGCAGTTCCTCATAACAAGCAGGAAAAAGGTCAAAATACAATCTTTGACCATATAGCAAATCATCCTTCATCTCTTTCCTTCACCAAAATACATGTGCCAGGATCTTTTTTTAAAATTACAGAAAGCTATACAAAAATGAAAAGTATTCCTACAGTTCCAGGGCTCGTCAGAGGGATTTTTAATACAATGTTACTGCTTTATACAGTAGCAATAATTAAAGTGATTTCAAACTTTACCCTATAGTAACTTTAAAAAAATAAGAAAAAAAGTCCTCTTGTGACCTAACCCCATAAAAACATAAGATATGTTGAGTTAAAACTGTTAGAGCTTCTTTAACCAATGCATTACAGTACATATGGTCCTTTATCAGAGGATCTTACATACCATATGTACTGCGGTAGCTAAACAGATAGAGTAAATTAAAGAGGGTAAGTTAAGGACACCATGGCAAACTTAATTCATATTTTCCTTATGCTGTGGGCTTATGTTGCAGTGATACTTTCTTGTATAGTTTGATCTTAAATTCACAGTTTCAAGCCTGTTTGCCAGAACTGCAGCACAATTTAATAGATTAAAAAGACTTAACAAGCAAGAGAGGAGGCTCATTATTACCCCGTGTTCAGTTAGAAAGATAAAAAATGAAATATAGTATAGCTCCTCAGTAACTATTTTTTAAGCAGACACTTCTGCCATAACAAGAAACCAGTTGGTTCCTATTTGTTTAGGACTTTGTGCCTGCAAAATCTGGGATACTGATGTCATATTTCAAGTTAAAAAAAAAAAAAGGATGCTTCATTGCTACTAAGAAAGTCAAAAGGAAATCTCTGCATAACTATATGTCAGGAGGGACATGGGCTCTGAGTAGGAGTGTGTGTTATACCTACAAATGTCAGACTCAGTACATGGTACAGATATCATTTGAACGGACACTGCAAGTGCATTAACATTCAAACAATATGATACTGGGTTGCAGGCCCCTTGCAAAAGCAAGGAAGAACATATACAGTTAGTGAGGAACAGCGTGCTGGTTGCTAAAAAGCACACTCTGAAGTAAAGACTGTGAAAGAACAGAAAGCTCTTCCATTTGAATACACTAAAACACAACAAAGCAAGAGCCTTACACATACTACTACTTACACTGATCTCATCCAAGAACATTTTGATTCACTCATCCTGGTAGGAACTTGTAAGGCATTCATTTTGCCGCTACCTCTGCATTTGGTATACACAAAGGGAATTAGAGAAGTGGTGGGCAGCACTGAATTTCACATTGTTAAGGGCAATAGGACTGCAACTGACAAGCTGCAGGCATTAGTGCTTGCTCCTGTTATTACTATTAATATCAATAATATAGCCTTAGCTAAACCTCTGACAATCCAGCGAGTTAACATTGTTCTTTGCAGAGCAGCATAGGGAGTACTCTGTAGGCTCTATAGCTTGTAAGCTCCTTGCTGAAGGGATCATGCTTCCTTCTGTTTGGAAAGCACAGCAGTCATGCCGGGCCCTGCCAGAAACACAGAATTTAAATATTGATCACCAATTGCAGTAGCGTGTATACTAGACACGCTGCTTTTTATGCAAGACAGTGTTTTCCTGCAGTGTCATCCCAATTAGTAGCCTGCAGGCTTTTGAGACCTTACTTCCTAATGTTAGTCTAGAGGCCTAAAAATACCACACAACTCACATGTAAGCATTACATTTTCACAAACTGCATCAAGTCTTCCCCTACTGACTACAGCACCAGGGACGCCTCCTTGGTCTAAGGCTTTGCCTGCTGCACTGTTCCTATAGGGTCACTGTCTTGTAACTGCGTGGTGCTGAATTGACACAAATAGAAATACATGTGAGAGGAGCTAAGCAGCTGCATCTCCCATTAAAGGGAGCTGGAGATGTAGGTGCTCAGTACCACTCGGTGAAGCCAACAGGAGTTTTGCTGTTGATTTCGGAGTAGAATGGAGACTCTTTGTGAGCAGCAGCCTGGGTTTCATGTAAGCTCTTTGGGACAGGGGCTGTCTTTTTGTTCTGTGGCAGTACAGCACCTAGCAGACTAGAATACAATAATGAAAAAATGTCTCAACCAAGTAGCAAAGAGGGTGGGCAGAAGTGAGCACAGCTGGACACTACCTACAAATGAAAGCCACAAGAAGCATGAACTCAGAGGTAGGAATGTTACACTATCATTTTTGGAGTTGATTACCTGCAATAGGGTTTTATACAAAGTTCATTATTTAACTGAGAATCAAATATAAGCTCAGCTCCTATAACAGAGAGGAAGATATGGTCCCTTCCTTCTGGCGCTTACTATCTAAACGATTTCACCTTAAAGATACATTATAGGATTAATGTAAGAGGAGGAAGCCATCTGTTTTGTGAAAACTTGTCCACCACATTTTTTTCACCATCTATAAAAAGACAGCTGCTAGTGACATTCACTCAGTCCTGATCTCAGGCAGTGCGGTTTGGTCATATTATGAATTGGTACATAAAGGTGGCAGCCAAATGCATGTGATTTATGCATTCATCTCAGTATCTAACCAATCTGCATGTATTTTCAAATTACTGTTTTGATTTTTAGTCCAGCCCCAAAGTGCTCTTGAAGAAAGGGGGCATCCACACACACAATAGCTTTCTTCTTTAAGCAACTTTAATGTCAGCAGGGAAACATTACACCCCTTCCTAATGCCCTACACCAAGCCTAAACACAGACTGATGACAAATATTAGGAAGCAGACAAACATCTGGAAGAGGAGCATCTTTCCACAGTTACCCTTGATTCAAGAATGTAGACACCTTTTTTACACCCATAAATGCTTCTCAAAAACCATCGTCATTTAAAAAAACATTCTAACATTAAATCAGACAGCTCTGAGGAGGCGGTGGCCTGTTGGTGGATTGTGGGATTTAACCATCTGGAAAGGAGAAATGGACATATTGCTGTTTCTTTGCCAACTAGATGATAGCAATGCGGGGCAACTTCCCTATGACAAACAGGCCGGGTCTTGATGGCAAGAACGCAAACATCCATTTACCAAAAAAAATCATCTAAATGAGACATTTTAATGCCAAAGCAATCACTGTGTATGGTACAGCTAAATACAGAGTAAGTAATGATCCTGCATGAGGCAGAACGTAGGTAAATGACATAAGCCTTTCTAATTTGGATTCTTATTATCCCATTGTTAAAAGAGCACATGAAGTAGTATACAATTTAAAAATGGTAATTGTACATAATTTAGTAAAACGATCACACGGGTCCTATAAGCCAACAATTTACAGAAGGAAATAAAACAAATACATATCTTTTTAAAAATGCAACACTGGACAGTTATACTCATTTCAAAAGGTTTTCAAGAAAGTGTGATTAAAAATTGCATTGACACAATGCCCATTTTTATAGGCCAACTCCAATTCCAACTGAGTGACATAGAACAGGCTGTAAATACTGCTTCTTCAGCCACATTTGCGGTGAATAAGTTACTGCCTAAGACACATGGCAATGAAAGTTCAGCTCATTAACCTTTCCTCACTGCCTGTCACAAAAACAGCAAGGAGTATCAGGCTGTGCCCCCAAGCAGATAGACTCCACGTGAACTGGCAGCTTCCTTCAGTTCTCACTTTTTTTTTTTTTTGACGTGGTTATGCTGCAAGCTTATCAACAAGCAATTGCACTGAGTGCCTTTGCTAGAGTACTCATCACTGTACTAGCCCATCTCCTTCAGCGTGGCATTTATACACTGTGCCCTTTGCTGTTTTCTCTGCAGGTACCGCACTCGGGCATCCTGTATTGATTTATCATCATTCCTTTTCTCCATCTTCTTTGCAGAGTCATCTTTTAGTTTTTCTACAGAAAAACAAAACATTACAATTCTGTGTCATAAATGCCACTTCCACCCCCTGACTTCACACTCATAGGGCCAGCTGATCAACTAAAACCAACAGAAGCTCAAATTTTTCAAGTGCTGCTCTCGGCCATGCCAATGGATGGTCCAATGATCTCCAGAAGAGACAAACGGCAAAGTAACTAGGACGTCCTTTTTATGGAAAAACTAAAGTCTCAAAGACAAATATAGCGTATATCCAGCTACACTTAAGTTATAGAAAAATCATACCCTCAACCCTCTTGTCAGTATCTGCATGTGCGATCACCCCTACTATATATTTGGACCATGTTCATTTTACTATAACTGAGTCTTTAGGCCTCAAGTTCTATGCATTTGTTACTTTTCTATGCTACCTCTTCAATTCTGAAAAAAAATACAAAATGCTTGGGGAAAATGCCTTTCTGGATTTTCTTGAAAGGAGAAGAAAAAAAAATGGAGGTAGAGAATTCCTGGAAGAGGAATCTATTAGAAATGCAAACTCTCTCCCGTTCCCACTGAGCTGTCTCAGATCATGGCAGTGGACGAATTCACCTGCCTGATTGTATTGGCGAAACATGAGTTATTTGTCATAACATTAAATGATTTTGATTTATATATATATTTTTTCTTTTTTACAAGTATCAGAGGGGTAGCCGTGTTAGTCTGGATCTGTAAAAAGCAACAAAGAGTCCTGTGGCACCTTATAGACTAACAGACGTATTGGAGCATAAGCTTTCGTGGGTGAATCCCCACTTCGTCAGATGAATGCCGAATCTGACAAAGTGGGTATTCACCCACGAAAGCTTATGCTCCAATACGTCTGTTAGTCTATAAGCTGCCACAGGACACTGTTTTTAATTGTGTTAAAAAAAAAACAACTCTTAATTAAGGGAAGTACTGATGGTAAAACATGCTATCTTGAAGGCTGAAGTTCCCTATTTATTCACAGGTCAGGTACAGCACAGGCAGCGACAGTTCACGATTCCCTCGCAATGCCCTGCCAGTGTCTCTCAAATCCGTGTTTGGAAAGGGCAGCTCAGGGGCTTCTCTACTGAAACCACTGACGAAAGAATTCAGAGAATATCAAGCTGCTGAATCAGTTAATATGCACTAGTTTAATTAAAACAGACCATTATTTTTAAATCAGGTGTTAAACTTTGCTGGATGTTATTTTGCTGACAATGAATTTGTGATGATCTCTCCCCTCACCACACCCCTTTTTCTTTCCCATCTGTAATATTATAGCTCTTGGAATTTCTCTCTGACAATATCAGGTTAGCAAATAGTTATACTCTCTACAGTAGGGGAAATACCCTTTCCAAACCTAAAGTAACTTGTGAAAATAGGTGTTCATGTTCAAAATGCTTTTCTTCCAGTTACAGGAGTGTGCACAGCTAACGTTACTGACAGAAGACAAAAGTCAAAAGAGGTGTGGCCAGGTTAACACGCGTGAAGTCACTAGCCTAGATGCTGCAATACTCAGCATGCATTATGCCATCTCTCTCATTCACAGCCTCCTAACATGGCTAAAAGAGGCAGTAGTCAATTTCTGATTCAGGTTTATGGAAAGCTAAGACCAGTTTGCTCACCATACTGTCGTTTGAGGTCTTCCTTGTTTTTCCACTTGGTTATTTCCTCCTCAGTCACCTCTTCCCGTGCCACACTGCTCAGTTCATACACATCAATTTCATGCAACTTAGGCAACAAGTCTTTGACCCACTCATAGCGAATAGGACACACCATCCTCACATACATTTTAGATGTGACCAGGACATCGTGGAAGATGATCCATTCAGGTTGAGGTTCCTGGTCATGGAGCTAAAGATAAAGTTATTCACATTTTTTCAGATTACTATCTTGGTTTTCTTTCAATAAGTGTGCTCTGCAGATTGACAGCAGAAAAAAACATGGGTCCTAATTCAGATTCTTGCCACAAACTGGTTAACAGCTAAACCCTTTTGTCTTGCTCTCCTCCCCATTCCCTTTTGAGAAGTTATATTTAATCCTTCATGCCTTCCTATGGCTTTTACTTTGGAATGCTGAAACATCCAATATTTAACCAGACTAATTCAGAACCTAGAGTTGCCTTCAGTAACATTCATCAATAATTGTTTTCATTTCTAGAGCATCTTCCAGGAGAGGATCTCCAAGTACTTCAGACACATGAATCGATTAATCCTCTTAAAAAGCCTGTGAGGTAGGTTAATATTATCTCCTCCTTGCAGATGGGAAAACTGAGGTATAGAAGTTAGTGACTTGCCCAAAGTTGCACAGAAAGTCGGTGAGAGCCAGAGCGAGAATTCAGATCTATTAACTTTTCCAGTTCTGGGTTATAGCCACTAGATCACATTGCCTTCACAAATCAAACATTTGTATGAATTTTGATTCTGTGCGATTCCCTAAGGAAAGATGTGGTAAAGTCTAGACACTATAGGCTAGTGTCTTACAGTATGGAGGCTGTGTGCAATATTTCACATGGCCAGAAGCTAGCTTCAATCTTACACCAGGAACAAACAAGCCAAAGATCAGGGAAACAATTTGCATAGCCTGCTTTATTTTTCTATTTACCTGAAAAAAAAAACACCCACACAACTATTAGCAGAAGTAAGTAACTTACTGCTGATGAAGGATGAAGATGGACTATGCTACCATGTCCGTCCATTGTGCAGAACGTCCTGCCTGCGGACCTAAAAGCATGGGGAATATTTTTATATCCAGTGACATATTTAGCTGTGCTTAGACACCAACACAGTCTAAAAAGAGCAGCAGCAGGATAGGAGAAAATGCTTTAACATAGAAAAAATAAACTTTCCAGAAATAAGTGTAAATACTAGATGAGGATTAAACCATCTCTTTATACACCATATTAACTCTCTTTTCAGTCCAAACTTGATGCTGTGACAAATGTGGTTTTAGGATTTCCATCTTGCTGACAGACGATGATTCTGACATCCGCAGAGCCCTTTACAAATATTAGCTAGGCCTCCCAATGCCCCTGCAAGGTGGGTAATTAAGTATTATCCCCTCACATTTCACAGATATGGAGACTGAGATACCAAGAAGTTAAATAATTTGTCCAAAATAACAATGAGAGTCAGTGGCAGAGCTGGCCCTGGAAATTAAGACTCGTGGCTCCCAGTCCTGCACTCAGACAGCTCCTCTCCTGCTGTAACAAGTGAAGTTGACCCTTTTAAGAAACTGTGGTACAGTCTTGCGACTATTTGTTTTGATTTATAAGCACATACTAACAAATGTGGCAAATCTTTTCCATCCAATTCCCCAAACTCCACTCCTTACCTTCGGGCGACATTGGTGAAGTACCCCGTGCACAGACATCTTCTGAGTATCTCATTTTTGGAGCCATCAAAACGCTCTCTTGGGAAGTCTGACAGCTGCATAAAGAGCAGCACAAAATGGATTAGTGTCTTTGTTAAAGGAAAATTGGTCACACCTTTCCCCCTCAGGAGCTTAAACCTTGTGTTTCACACTTCATAGACAGCTATTTTCTATGACCTTCCTTTTGTCCGTTGCTACCATTACACCACATATTTAGAGATAGGTTTTTATTAGTACACACCTCACTGTAACCTAAAAAGATTAGTTTAGATTAGGACAAAGATGGCAGCCATCTAGTGAAGACTCCATACTGCAGTATACATCTAACATAGGCACTTGTGCAAAGACAAATGCCATTAATTTACATTAGAAGGAAGTTTGTTCACCTGTTTAAGCTTACTGGTTATTTCCTGAAGTTGTGCTTCCACACTAAAAGCAGATTTTAAAGCTCTGAAGTGGACCCAGTGTTTTTGGCACCAAGCTGCAGGAGACTTGCTAGGAATAGAGATACCGGTGTTATAACGAGGTCTTTTGTAAGTGGAAGGCAGCAAGTTGCTGCTATTTTTTATTATGGTCGTACAAAGAAGACAACAAACATTCATGTAAATTCAGACAGCAGATTCCTTGTACTGTACATATATTACAGTATGCAAAAATCATCTGGGTATGAGCACATGTACATATAGATGGGCTTTAGAGAAGAAATGTACAATAGAGCTCCCAGTAGATATCTTCTGTGCATTGAATAAACACCTATGTACCTTGATTTGCACTGTTCAAAGATGTTTAAAAGGGTTGCAAAATCATTGCATCCTCCTGCCTCTAATGACAGTTCCTGGTGGCGGAGTTCCGCTTCCTTTTGTTTCTGAAGGTCACCTGAGGAAACACTAAGTTATATTTCACTTTAACAAATTCAATTTTCATTTGTCACTCCTACCTTAGTTTTCTATACTCTCTCTAAAGTGCAGCTGAAAGTCCTGGCTCTTTATTTAGATTATTTTAAGACTCATTTCTTTCCCACTCACCCCCCCGGCCTCAGTTTTGTCTCTCCCACTTCTGAGAACATGAAGCTGCTATTAAAGCTGGATTAAAACTGTCAGCCAGCACTAGAGATGTAGCTTTGATGCAAGTGCTAAACTCTTTCCTTGGGAAAGGTTAGTGGGTATTGTTCTCTCTCATGATCAATTCTGAGTGGTCATGTAGAATGACGACATGAAAATATACAGAAGCAACAGAGTTTAAAGAGTTTCTAGAAACTGAGTGGAAGATTTGATCTGAGCAGCAGGACCTCACATTTCAGATGAGACAGAAAAAACAGGGCCTGCTGCTGCTACTTGTGGGCAGTTTCATTTATCCTGTTGAACTAATTTATGTCATGAAGTCCAGATAACATAGCAATGGCTAGATCAGGGGTAGGCAATCTATGGCACGTGTGCCGAAGGTGGCACGCGAGCTGATTTTCAGTGGCACTCACACTGCCCGGGTCCTGGCCACCGGTCTGGGGGGGCTCTGCATTTTAATTTAATTTTAAATGAAGCTTCTTAAACATTTTAAAAACCTTATTTACTTTACATACAATAGTTTAGTTATATATTAAAGACTTATGGAAAGAGACCTTCTAAAAACATTAAAATGTATGACTGGCATGCAAAATCTTAAATTCGTGTGAATAAATGAAGACTCGGCACACCACTTCTGAAAGGTTGCAGACCCCTGGGATAGATAGAAGAAATCAATAGTTTGGCATAAAACTCAACCCATGAGTCTACAGAAACCTTCATGTAATTGCAAAGAATGTGCCATGTCAAAGAAATAACATCTCAGAATTTTGACCTCAAATTTTGATCTCAAAAGGATTCCCCCGCCCCAAGTAAAGACAAATATGGGCTGCTTTAGGCCAATGCAGTATGCTGCTGCACTTCCCCAGGCCACGACCACACATACATTCAGGTATTTAATTTCAAACACATGTGGCTCCACTGAAGTCAACAAAAGTACTCATGCACTTAGCTTTAGCACATGAGTAAGTGTTTGCAGGATGTGAGCCTATGCCATGATCCCTTGTTTCCAGATTGACAGGTAAACTGTTTAACGGGGACTGGAGTCCCTGCACTAGTTTGTTAGCTGGCTGAAAAGGAAATGTGAACAAGCTGCAAAAGGAGCCAGAGGGAGAATGGGAAAGCAAAATCAAGGAGTGCGAGGAACTGCAGCGTACCATCCAACAGCAAAAATCTTCTGATAGCTCACTTACAACTGAACTGCCTTTTGCCGCTGTATCAGCAAAAACGAGTTAATACATTACAGAGATAACCAGACACTGACAATGAACATGAGCAGAAAGGACAAAGTTCTCCCCAAGACTTTGCTACACACACGTTTTTAAAAAGCGAGTGAGCTCAGTGCTAGTGAAAGGTTCTGACCTGAAAGCCCAGCAGAATTAAATCTGTTTAGTCGCAGAATTGGCATAGGACCAGCAGCAGCAGTTCATGCTCCCCAAACACTGACTAATAATCCTGCCCCAGAGGGATCATTTCTAGGGGGAGTTCATTCTTTTAATCTAGTCAGCTCTTGGTCTCTCACTGCAGACTGACCAAAAGTGGATCCAGGTAGCATCTGATGAGGTGTTATTTTTTGTTACAATACTAGATCTGAGCTGCCAATTGCAATGGCATCTTTTAAACAGTGACACTCCCCACGCTGCTACAGACAGTGTTTATGAAATACACTGGCTTAGAATGTGCAGCCATGTCTCCCTCTAGTGACTGGGCTAGTTGAATACAAGCTTGCTCCTTACTGATAGCTCATGGAGTCGTTCTTTTAGCTCAAGTGAGAGGAGCTTGTGTTTTTTTTGCCAGAGATTCCCAGATGATTCCCACTGATGACTGAAGTGCGTGTACGTAATGAGCTGTGGCTTCACATAACTAATGACATTAGGAATGGGAAACCAGTGAAGAAGTGAAAGACAAAATGCATAAGGACATTAAGGACAAGTTCTCCAGACTGAGCACTGTGTGTTGACCAACCACCTCCTGACAGACACTCTGCTCAGGGTACAATTCATAACCTAAGATGACCTGCTTCTGGAGAACGGGGCTTCTTACCAGGTCGTATAAAGACATTTTCGACAGACAACATCGCAGCTATGGGAAGCAACAGATCTTCGCAGTCGAGAGAAGCTGCCTTTATGACAGCACAGGTCAGGTTTGGAGGGAGAGGAAATTGCACCAAAAACTCTCCCAGTCTTGTCACGTGGCCTCTCCTTATTGGGAGGAAAAGATTCAAACATCAGATTGAACAGACTAAATCTGTAAGGCCAGAACGTAGGTACAAGACCCAAGTAGCCAGGACATCTCCAACAGAGCCTTCATTGGCTTTTATATAAAGACACACTCCCCAGAGGCCCAGGAGAGAGAGAGGCCTTGCAAATCCAGACAGCAGATGATCCTCTAGCCAAAACTCTCCCTCAGATTGCTCACGTCCTGTCCCATCTGCACTGTTAGTGGGGGTTTTGAGTGCATCAGGAGTGCAGGATTAGTGTGAAGAATTCTTAGAAGATTAGGATAAGATGTGTGTGCTTCTCTCTTAACAGTAATTGGGACCAATATAATATTTATGTCTGAGTATCTCACACATTTTAGCATATTTAGCCTCACAACAGCCCTGTGAGGTGATATTTGCCCCATTTTACAAATGGGGAATGGAAGCACAAAAGGGCTAAGTGACTTGCCCAAGATCACACAGGGAAATCTGCGGCAGAGCAAGGAACTGAATCCGGGTCTCCTGAGTCCCAGGTTAGTGCCCCAACCAGTGGCCCATCCTTCCTCTTGGATCAGATCAGAACATTCTTTTCAGACTGAAAAATATTTAAGTTCATGGGAAAACTAATATATGGGTTCTACTGCTGAGGAAAGCAATCTACCTTATGTTGCAACGCATTAACAACAGTACAAAATTAAGTCACAAATTTTTTTTTGTAAGTACTGAGGTTAAAAAGATAAAGTTGGTTTCTGCCCTCTTTACCTGTCAATAGCATCACACTGGTAAAGTTGCTTAAGAGCCTCTAAAATATGCCTCTCTTCGGGGTGGTCCAAATAGGGGAACCTACAAACAGAAAGGCAGAATAAATTCCACTGCTTGGGCTCAAGGTAGTTCGCTAAAGCTGTAAGTGTTTTATATTGCAATACTCCTGGAATCCTTCAATCCAGGTCAACAACCAAGGGAAAGTGTGTTTGCACGTGTATGTATAATAGTTACACATTTCTATTTAATGAGGGAAACAGCTTCCATATCCCAAAAGAGCTCTGTTTGCACACACAAATATATCTATATTTACGCACACAAACATCAACAATGTTCCTTTAAAACACTAACAAAGATTACTGTTATTTCAGGAGCTAGTTTTGACAGATCCCCAAAGAGATGTAAAGCCTAAGACACAGCCTAACGCTGGAGATTTTTAGGAGAATGACAGAAGAGTTGATGTTGTCCCATTTGCCCTGATACCTAATCCTGTTCTTGGTACCAATAGGACATAGTGTGTTCTCTTTCTGGTGCCAACACTCTATAACATGCATTGCCAAGACTCAGAGGGAGATTACAATTCCCTCCCCCATGGGTTACCTTATGACATCATGTACAGCAAGGCACTTCAAGGTCAAGATCACAGATGTAAGACTAGTTCTCTTAATCTCTGGGATCATGTGATCAGGCATACACTGATCCCAGAATTCCTTGCTGTACACCCTGTAGCATTTTCCAGATGATGTCCTGCCAGCTCGGCCTGCTCGTTGCATTGCTTCACTCCTCCAAAAATAAGCAAAGAAAAATAATACTGTGCTTGTCATCAAAGTAGCAAAGCACCCTATAATTATGATCAATGATAGCAATTTGTCTCTCTCTAGATGAAGGATTTAATATATTGTACAGGAACCCTGCTATGCAAAATGTAACAGCATAAAGAAATAATACTGGGCAAAACTTCCTGAACTTCTTTGAATTAGTTGTGTTCAATGTTGGAAAGATGGTGTAAATCATTTTCAGATTACAGATAATACATGGCGAGTTCTTCCTCACTGCTCATGATTAAAATTAAAGTACCATGCTCTACTAAAATGTTTTATTTACTATCCTTGATGTTTTCTAAATATTGACCTAATAGAGCTGCAAATGAAAGCTAAATGTGCTGCAGTGCCTCCAAGATCTCTCTGCTCTTCTTTATACGAGGAAAATTGCAGTCACACAGTACATTCAAAGCAACTTTCAAAGGCAATCTGAGAACTCCTCTCAAACCAGAATGTAAATTACCTTTCTTCTAACTTACTTTGAAATGGGAACCACCTCCAGTATGTCCAAGCCAACCCTGGGGTTATGATTTAACTGCTTCACAAATCCACTATCAACGACATACCTGGAAAAAAAATTAAAAATATCATAAGATACAGGACGAGGGACCTAGATCAGGCAGTGGCTTAGGTTCCTTATCCTCAGTAACAGTAACATGTCAAATGGAACCCGGTCGGTCTGTAAATGTGGAAGAAGATAGTTGCACTCTGCTGGCCAATTACTGAACTACAATGGGATGGACAGTGAGGAAATTCCTCATGTAGGGCTTGTCTACACAGAAATTACACTGATTTAGTGCAATCAAAGTACTGGGTTTGGTTTCAAAATCAGATAAACTGATATTAAGAACTCTTCAAGTCTACTTAAGAGTGCCAGAGCAAAGGGGATGCATCATTTATTAAACTGACTAAACATATTTCTGGTCTACATAAAGAGAAGAGTCACTTACTGCAAAAGGGCATGTAATTACTCAGCAGGATCAGAACAACAAACAGAAGAGGGGAGGGATTGGATGAGGTTTTTTCAATTCTAATGCAGCATTGAGTCATTCCCTTGGTTACAGCTTTTACCAAGGATAGGAAATAGTTACCTGATTCCATCAACGGTCAGAGATGTTGCAGCAACGTTTGTGGATACGACACATTTTCTAATGCCTGGAGGAGGGGGCAAAAATATTCTTCTCTGCTGATCTAAAGAGAAAGAGTCCGTCAAGTAATCTTTTACATCAGGATGCACAAAAGTCAAATTCCATCTCTAGAAAAGGACAAGATTACCCACTAAAGACAGAAAATGAATGGAGGTCTTTGGGTTGAAACTAAAAGGTGAGCCAGGAGATGAATTTCAAAACAAGAACTGCTTTACAATCGTCTTTAATATACTTGTCGGGAACAACATCACCTCTTCTCTATTGTTAGTTCCTTACGAAAGTCTCTACCTTAAGTGCTTTTAAGTGCAGCCCTTTTCGATAGCTCTTGTGCAAGAGAAATACAGATGTAGGGAACCAAGCAAAATGCCAGCTCTAAATGGAATGTTTGAGGATTTAAAGCATGTTAAGAAACAATCTGAGGTCTAAGAAACCAAAGCAACTGGAGATCAATAGAATAAGTTTCCCATCAAAATTAATTAAAACCTCAATATACCTTACTGCAGGTTAAGATTACCCAAACAATCCATCTTATAACACATTTCCCTCGGTCTTATTTAGGAGATTTTCAAAGGCACAGATGGGAGTTGGGCATCTAACTTTCCTTTATGCCTTTGAAAATCTCCCTCTAAAGTCATATGTTTATACTTAGATGGCAAGCTCTTTGGGGCATGGCCCATCTTTTTGTTGTGTGTTATATACTGCCAAGTACAATGGGGCTCCCAGACACTTCACAATAATAAAATAATGATGGCTTTCAAGCACTATCCTGGTACCTTTGGTGTTGTAAAAATAAATAACTCCTCTCTCATTCAATCCTCGGTCCATCCTTTTGGGAGGGAACAAGGTCATAACCCTCCCTACATGTCATCAACCAATATACTCCCTACGAAGGTTTCCAGGCTCTAAAATTGCTGACCTACTCTTCTCATGTACATTTATTCTGCCTTTCGGCATTCTACACATTGCACCCACACAATTAATACCAGATGATCTTGAATGTGAAGCGAAAACACATCTGTTTTTGTAGAAGTCATGAAGCCTTGCAGCAACACTGCAGACTTAGTTCAGTAATTTACACTTTCTATATAGGGTAACGCCACATTCTTTTTATCTTCTCTTGTATGTATAATCTTATTGCCACATATCTTATTGGCAAACACTTTAATCTTAATCAAAAGTTACCTTTTTTTTTTTAATTGGAGCAACACAACTGAGTAATTAAGTCAAATCCCTACCAAATATGTTTTAATTGAAAATGGGTATCATCCCCCCCATAACAGACACTATCCACAAATTCTATGTGAAGCTTTTGAAATTATACTTTATTTTAAAAGCAAACGCTGGACTGAAAAGGAGAAAAACTTCCTGGCACTCAACACCCCCATTAGCCAGTTACCGAGCAGAGTTAATGAGCTTTAACAATAATTCCATCCAGTCCTCAGGTGGAAGGACAGTAGCTATAACAGGAATCCTTAGGGCAAGTATGACGATCTACTCATAGCTAGGGAATCCTCCGGCTTCTAGTTATGGCACAAGAATTTTCTCTGCTGGGAGCAGAAGAATGCAATAGCTTTACAAGAAAAGTTATATGTGTTTTTAGTACAGGAAAGACAACATGTCATTATTCAAAGATATTGACAGGATCTGACTATTTAATGGATTTTTGCCAACTACCATTATGAACCAGCACACAGTACAATTTTTTTTTTTTTTTTAAAAAGTAGAAAATAATACCTTTTCCTATTAGGCTGCAAGGGGAATTTCAGAGCGGCAGAATATCATTATCAGTGCTGAAGTTTGGCCAGGACATCAGAGCCAGCAAATTCTTGTGAATACCACTCTGACATTTTTAATAACCACAAGTAGTCAGAACTTTGGGGTTTGGTACAAACTGAAAGACTGAACTTCCAACAACACAGCATTCACTTTTTCTATGCTAGGACTGATTTGGAGAGAAGGGCACTGCCTTCTAAGCCAACACTTCCAGCAGCATATGGATTTTAATTCATGGTCCCCAAGCAAGAACTGACCAGGCCAGATTATGATTAGCTTGTGACAATACTGCTTTATTAATCTCTCAAACAGGTAAGCAAATGGCTGTGATGTTTCCACTCAAAATAAAAGTATCTGACCAAGATGTCACATATAACAATTAACTGCAGCTAAGATCTGCATAAACTAAACATAACATTATGTTTAATTCAGTAAGCCTTACCTGTTGGCATTGACCCATACAAGGGTAAGATAAGCAAACCTTCAACAGAACAATCTTGCACATCATAGCGGTAATCAATAGATTCCGCTTTCTGGAAAAGTAAGTCGCACGTTCTTTCTATCTCAGATTGTCCTAAAGCAAAATACAGAAGTACTTAAAATATAAACTATGTAGTGAGGACTTTACCTTGTTAGCTTGCAACAGCTCTACACAATCTGGTCTTTTACACATACTATGGAGATGCCAGTACAACTGCAAGGGTAAAGGAAAATTAACTGGTCATTTGCAGTCTTTTCAAAAACTTAGTTTTATGCTTAGGGTTTTTCTGTGCAACAGTGATGGTTTAGATATGTATTTTGTATCAGGTTTTATTAATTATTTCAGCAACCTGAATTATAAATTAACTGAGTTTTTGCCAGGGGGATTATTTAAGGAGCTTCTCTTTTCTGGAAGACAGCAGGGAACACTTATACTGTACAAATATACAATGCATTGCTTCATTCTTCTACATGAACACAGAAAAACCAACCTGGAGTTTATCTTCTCTCCCACATTGGAAAGAGTTGATCAACATGATTATTTTGTTTGTTTAAAGCCCCTACGAAATCAGGGCGAGGTTCTGGTGCGCAAGGAATATAAGAACAGGTCCTTCAAAGAAAAGTGACACACCAGTCATTTTCTTTCCTCTTCTCACATCCCATAAAACAAGATTCCATACTCCTGCTTCCTACTAAGGCGAGCTGTGTAACTTTCTGTATAGAAAGTTTCTTTTCTAAAGGGCAGAAGAGCGGATGTAGAACTAGATGTGGTTTATTTTCAACTTTTTGTCCTAGTCTTTACTATCTAACATCACCTCTCTCAAGGGACTATATCCTGCCCTGGTAGGGGGCTGGACTCGTATCTTGCTGTTCTGTACTTCTATAACCACTAGTGACTAATGCCATCTCACAATCGAAATCCTGAAAGACTCTTGGCTGGGTTTATAAAGGAGTAGGGAGTAGTTAGGGCATCTTTCTCCTGACACATTAGGATAGGACAGAAACATCAGGTATAGAGGCAATGTTAGAGGTATAGAATGACCACTGTTGGAAAAGCTATCCAAACAGCTTTAGGGTAGGATTTTTGGAAGCGCCTAAGTGACTTAGAAACAAAGTTCTGTTGACTTTCAATGGGACTTGTGGTCCTAAGCCACTTAGGCCCTTTTGAAAATGCCACCCACAATCTTTAAAATCACTACATGTTTGCCACAGCCACTTTCTCTACATTTGCCTTCCATGCCCTAGTTCAGTTGTGAACTGCTGCAGTGATGCACCTAGACACAGCTCTAATGCCGCCAGTGCCCATTGTTCTAGGATGATCTGGGCATTCAGCAGCAAGATAATTCTTTCTGTTGGCAATGCCACCATTTGGCACAGGATAGAGTTTTTCAAGTAAAAAGGAATTCTCACCAGTTAGAAAAACCAAGATGTCTCCTGCTGACTCATTCAAGTGGATATCCAGGGTCACTTTTACAGCCTGAAACAAGCAGCAGTAACAGGATTATCTACTGGAATTAGAGCTTTAATCGTCACTAGTTGTAACTGACAGTGTAAATCAACTCCCTCCTCCCCCTTTCCACCACAAAAATTAGGAAGCTTGAGAAACCAGCCTTGCATGAAGTATTAAATACTTCATGCAGAGATGAGCTCCAATGCTCTGAGAGCTCATTATCATACAGCTAACAGAGAGAACATGGCAAACAGGCAAAGGAAAATAAGCAATACCTCTGTAACATAGGCAGAGCTTTCTGCATCCTTTGGGCCAAGCAGGCTGCAGAATATCTCCTTGACGGGATAATTCCTTCCTGGAATGTCCACCACTGCGCAGCCTCCGAAGAACTCTGAAAGCTTGTCTACCTCCAGGGTGGCTGACATCACCACCACCTTCAGGGCTTTCCTTCTCTTGGGAGGCTTCTTTTGTTGGAACAGTTTCTTCAGCAAGCCAAATAAAATGTCCTGAAAGAAAGAGCCACCTTAGCTTCACAACTCAACTCTTCTGAGTACAAATGCCCACTGAAATACAGAGCCACTGGTAAATAGGACAAAATTAAGCAGTGTGCTTTGGGGGCACAAGTGCTTTAAAAGGTTTTTTCCTTCTTGTAAATATTCTGGTTGCTCTCTAAAGCTTAGCAACAAAATGCTTAGTAGGCTTAAAGAAACCCAAGTTTTTTCCACAGTTCTGGAACAGCAAGCTGAATCAACACAGCTAAAATACCTTGTTTCTCATTCCTAATTCTCCCTCAGCTGCAAAAAGGAAACTGTTTTTAAAGCACTGCCAACGTTTTGTTAGTACTGTAGTTCCCCCACAGAAAAATGGCCCTTCCTGGTGGTTGTGCCGCACTCAGAGGTGGTCTCTCTTTCCTCAGTTATTCTGCTTTTTTTGATTTTTTGCATAATAACTGAAACCAGATCCATAGGCTAACTATCAGAAGAGTGTAACCCTTCCCCCCCCCCCCCACACTCCCATCTCAGGAGAGACTTGTAAAGTGTAAATGTGCTTTGGTTTAATCCCTTTGACTTAATGCCAAAGTTTAATAGAACACTGGGACTTGCAAAAAATATAACCATGTTCTATTACTGTAACACCCAGCCAGAAGGCCCTGGGGATTGTGCAACAGTCAAAGGAAGGAATAAGTAGATTACAACAGTGAAGAAAGTGACCCAAACTGAACAGGCAAACAGAAGCACTACAACCTCACATAGACAAACTGTAAACCTCAAGGCATTCAAAGAGAAGAAAAAGCCTACGCTACATGGACCTTCTCTATCTGGATGGTGCAGATAAGGGGGAAAACATGTTTAATTATTAGAAGAGTAGGCAAGGAGTCAGGACCCCTGGGTTCTAGTCTAACCCCTGACACCAATTCACTGTAGGAGATTCTAGATAAATCACTTAACTGTTCTATGGATCAGTTAAAACCTTTCAATTGCTCCTGTAAAATGGTGATAAGTCACACAGGAAGGTCATGAGCTTTAGTTAGCACGTAAAGCACTTTGAGATCCTTAAATGAAAGATGCTATCAAGGGGCAGAGTATCATCTTTTTAGTCTCTTATAACTGAACTAAACAGAATTAACACCTCCAGGAACCTAAGGACCATCACAAACCTCACCACTTTCCACGCCGAGGTGTGTTTCTTTGACCTGGCCTTCTCTCTCAAATACATAGCAACATGTACTTTCATTAAAAAAAAACCCACACATCTAACCAACCTACGAAAACAAGACACTCCACTGCAAACACTTCTCCCCTTGGAGAAGGAATGGGAGAACAAATTCATGACAGATGTTAGTCACATCATTTCACACACTAAGGGAATAAGTGCAGCACAAGAACCTATAGAGAACAGAACTGCAAGTTTCTTTTTAGTTATACTGAATTAGGTGTGTAAAATAAAGCAACACTCACTGTGCTTAAGCTCCGCTCATGGGCTTCATCCAGTATAATGACACTGTATTTGGTAAGATGGAGGTCTGCCAGTACCTGTCTCAGTAAGCAGCCATCAGTCATATACTTGATTGCAGTACCCTGAATAGTTTAACCATCCATTCAGTTATTGCCCTGGATATGGATTTCATTACATACAGTCACATATCAGGAGTGACTACGGACTGAAGTTGATCATTTAGACTTATCAAGGTTCAGTGAGAGACTTTGCATGCTATAATTAACGTGCTAAGCCACAGCTACAAAAGACATTTGATAGGTTTTCTGAAATACTTTACAAATACACAAAATCCATTATTTAAAACATTTCTTAAGTGCTATATTTCTAATCTGTGCAATTCTTTTCTTCTTTTCTAAATTGAGGGATCTCAGCATCACCTCCTAATGACAATCCAATAATTCTAATTACAAAATCATAGTCAAGTATTCACCTACCATGCACATTCAGACTGTTTAAAAAAACAACCTTCTTGATGAGAATTTGTGGATTCTGTGGCAATGCTTCAGTTATATGCTATGAAAACATGTACAGCATATAAAATTGATTTGAGCTACATTTCAGACTGCTAAAATAGCATCTCCACCAGAGATTCACAATAATGCACATACAGAATGCAATTCAAACAGACTTCCTGGATGGCAGAAAGCAATTTTAGATTTAAACTAATCCACAAAACAGAGCATGATGAGCATCCAAACTTTGAAGCAAGCACCTTTATGTAATGTGCATGTAGCTCAAGGACAACCTCACTGAAAGGAATGACACACAGCTCTATTTTACATAGGTCATATTAACAATTTGCCAGGAACTCAAGGGCTGCACCTGATTTGTATTAAATGGAACCACTTGCAGTCACCTCTTTTAAAATGGAGATGTGCCACACAGAGACTACAGGGCCCAGAATGCAATGATTTAGCTTGCTCCATTAAGAGAGATTATTTTTTAAAACAACATTAATCTTCAACTCATACCTCAGAGGTGCAGTCATCAAAGCGAACCTGATATCCCACTATGCTTCCCAGTGAAGAGTTCATCTCCTCAGCCACTCTCTGAGCCACAGACATGGTAGCTACTCGGCGTGGCTGAGTCACACCAATCACTCCATGCTTTGCAAAGCCTACAAAAGGCAAGGAAATTGCTTTATCAATGAATTACCTTTGTGGTATGTTAACTGTTGCTAATATATTTGTAAAGGCTTCACTGACTAATATCTCCCCCACCTCTCACAAACCAGTGAAATCCAACACAGATTATCTTTGTTCTAAGATTTAAAAATATATATATATATATTTCTCTGATCTATTTTGCTAACAATTTTTGGAGAGGGGAGTGACTAGCATTTGTGGGCCTCCTGGGAAAAGGAGGGGGCAAGAAACATGAAAATTACTTAATTTTTAAAGAGTATATTAAGAGTATTGTCTAACTGAAGGGTTTTACACTTCACCAATAGCATCTTAAGGAGAAAATAAATAGTTACCTTCTTCAAATAGATACTTAGGGAGCTGGGTAGTTTTGCCACTCCCTGTCTCCCCAGTCACAATAAGAAATGAATTGTCTCTCACAGCCTCAACTAGTTTTTTCCTGTATCTGTGAATAGGGAGGGCTCTGAAGTCTGAGTTTCCTTTGTCTTTTTCCTTTTGGCAACTGCCTTTTCTTTCCATGTGGGCGACAATTTGAGTGGTCTCCTGTGGAGCACAGATAGATGAATACACCTCCCAAAAGTAACAAATATCAAACATGCATGTAATTATATCACAGTATACAGTACGTGTTCTATATTTCACATTCGCATTACACAGGGAAAACAGGTCCTCTCTCAGACTAATCCTAATAAGATGAAATTCAGGAGCTAGCAGAAGGTGGAGTCAGCTCAGGATATTTTCCAGACAGCTTCCCAACAGCAGAATTCAACCCCGCTAAAGCACAAACCTGGGAGCCTCACCGGAGAGAGAACACAACTCTTCAGTTAGGATGGCTAGTGCAAATACTGAACTCCACAATAATGGGTTTGTGGGGATGAAATGGCCCCTGCCCAAAACCTAGCAGTGTACTGGAGAACACTGCTACACTTTTACACTGCGTACCTGTACCCCACCATCCCATATTCCCCATTAAGCGGGGGGCGGGGCGGCAGGCAGGGGCCATTTCACTCGTCCCCAAAACACAGACAGTAACCAGGGAAAGAAGAGAGCTGGGCAGGATCCATGACACCCCCTCCAGCCCCAGTAACTAGGGAGGGAAAGGAGTTGGGGCAGGAGCCATGACACCCCCCAGTAACCAGTGGAGGGAAGGGAGGGGGCCGGACCGGAACCGTGACACCCCCACACACCAGTAACCAGGGAAGGGAGGGGGCCGGATCGGAGCCTTGACACCCCCACACACCAGTAACCAGGGAAGGGAGGGGGCCCGGCAGCAGCCATGACACACACAACACCAACTCCTCCGGGGAGGGAAGGGGGCGAACAGAAACCATTACACACACACCCCCGTCAAAGCCCCAGTAACGCGGGGCGGGGCCCCATTACTCCCCACAAGGCCCACAGTAGGGATAGGACCACCCGACGCCGCCGTATCCATGAGAAGTGGGGGCCCCCCCACCCCAGTAGGCGGAGCTTCCCCTACCCTGCCGCAGGTACCTGCCACGTGACTCCAGCCGGTCTCTCCTCCCTACTCGGAAGTTGGAAGTTGGAACCCGGCGCCCTCTGATGACGTTTCGTGTTTACGTGGGGGCGCTGCAGCCGCCGGGGAGACGGGACAGGCTCGGGGAACTTGTAACCCCGCCCCCTCCCACCCAGGCCACGCCCCCTCCCGTCCATCCTCATCACCTAGCCCCGCCCCTCCCTCTGCACTGGTCTCCACATAGCCCCTGCGCCCTGCTAAGGGTCTGCTCAGTGCCCTCTTCCTCCCTGATTGAACTAACTTCATTATCTCTATCCTTACTCACTCTTGCTTGCATATTTATACCTGCCCCTGGAAATTTTCACTGCATGCATCCGAAGAAGTGGGTATTCACCCACGAAAGCTCATGCTCCTATACGTCTGTTAGTCTATAAGATGCCACAGGACTCTTTGCTGCTTTTACAGATCCAGACTAACACGGCTACCCCTTTGATACTATTAAATGTAGTAGGGCCCTGACTCGTCTGGGCCCTGCACCAGTCGTCTGCCCCAATGCCAAGTGAATGTGAGACCTGGGCTGAGAAGGTAACACTACCCCCACTTGTCACAGGTGAAAAGGAGGGTGCAAGGTGGGGGTGAATAAGATCCCCCCTTTTGCTCAAACCCTTATCTCTGTCACTAAATAGCAACAGAGTTGGTTATTCAAACCAAAAGACTGTCATTGTCACTGTTGACACTGGTTTGTGCATTTCACTTAGCTTGGAGAATGTGAATACAGCAGCCTGTTTTAGTTTGTTTATACATGCTTCCTAATTGGTTTCATTTTCTGCTTCTCATGCACTAGCCCAAAGGCTGCAATGTTTGCTGTAAATCCTATATGGAACAACTTAAATAATAACAAAAACATTTGATGATTAAATAAAAAAAGGTTCAGGGAGTGTTTAAACTACCTGCAAGTGACCCATTAATAGGAAAATCTTTCCCTAAAAACAATAAATTGTCACAACATATTTGGAAATATTACAGTACAGTTTCAAACTTAACTATATTGTAAAGTGGCATTAAGTATATGATGAAACAAAGACCATCTAAACAAAATCAAAAGCCTCCTTTCGCTTAATACAATTTAATACACATCTGTGATATTTTCATTTTGATTGAAGAACCTCTGCTGAATGTTTTCTGGTTTTGATACTCTGGTGTGTAAATCCCAATATGCCCAGAAGGTGGCAAGCTAGGTATACTTAAAGATTATAGGAAAAAAACACAAATCGCCAAGTAAAAGGTAAATGCAGTATTACTGCTTCCACTGGAAGTAAAATTTCTATGTTATTTAAACAGTAAAATCAGGAATCAAAGGATTAAACATGGTGAAGAGAAGGGTTTGGATGGCACTTCCTTTCTTCAAGGTAGTCATCTATCCACTGTTGTTAGAAAGGATATGCAGAAATTGTATGTACATCCTAAGATTTAAGTCTATCTTTAAGAACCATGTTTATGTGCATTAAGAATGTTTCACCTCTCACTGGGATAAATAGGTGATGAGTACCACATGGTAAATTTCTCTTATCACGTAAGCACAGAACTAGGAGCCAGAAACTCCTGGGTTCTAATCCTACACCCACCACTGACTCCCCTCGCCATCATGGGCAAGGCATTTAACCTCTATACTTCAGCATCTCCAACTGAAAAAATCGGGATAATATTTAAATATATTACCTACGTAGCTCACAGGAAGTTGCAAATACTGATTAGTTAATATTTGCAAAGCTCTTTGAAGATATATCACTGCCAAATATCATCATCGTTAGACACCTCCAAACATAGATACACACTTGTTATGATCCTTTCATCAGTGCAGTGAACCATTAGTATCCAAGGACAAAAGCTCATCTATTAGCCAATAGCACAAAATTGCTCATCAGCTTTTGAAAAATCGTTCACATACTATTCTGTCTTGCAGCTTTCATATTCCCATGTTTGATTACAAGATATTCAGACACTCAGGAGCCATAAATCCTCCATATCTACCTGAAAACTTCTACAGAAATTACCCAACATGACATTAATGTTTATCTCGGAGCATGAAAAACATTCAGTTTTACATCTATATTAGTATAATCAATATATAGTTCTCTTCACTCAGGATACAGTATGGGATATGATAATATACAATATGCTATGACTTCATTTTATAAATATGTACCTGATTTATTACCTTAAAATGTGGTAGTGTTATGTTGCTACTAGTAACTCACTCAGCTAATAGCATTCAAATTAACTGTTTTACTATTCCCCAGTGAGGACTGCAAATATCCCATCATTGCATTTTCTTGGCACATTTTTAGAGATGGTAATTTATTAAGTGATATTCATATGTACATGGGTTATCTTCCTAACAGGTTTTATTTTAATCAGACATGACTCACACTTTGTGCGTAGGCAGTTTTACACTGTAACAGTTTATGGAGCCAGGTGAGATGATTTTTTTTCCCTCTTAGGGTAGGGATGGCATGTTTGGTTTTAATCAAGCTCTTTGGCAGTTTTGAACTTTGTCTTTGCAGAATATCGTGCCTTTCAACCAAGAATCTCTTGCTGCTTAAACATTAATGAATTACACCCCATACCCCCTTGAGATATTATCTCAGTTTTGCAGATGGGGAAAACAGACACAGATTCAGAGGTTTGCACTAACAGCAATTTGGCAGAGCTGGGGAAAAAATCCAGGAATCCTAGCTACAATTCCCTGCCCCAACCACTAATAACATGGCATCTCCATCCTTATAGCTGGTATGCTAATAAATGTGCTATGTGGGGTTGCACTTTCCTTTCAGGTTTGCTAGAAAAAATTGCTCTTGGCCTAGGGATTAGGTTTAGACATCACTGCAAATTTGTTCACTGAAAGAGGACAATGCTACTCTGCCACCTACCCTAGCCAAATTGTGCTGGTCACACAGCAGTGAATGTGTTTTGCTTTCTGCTGAGTAGAGAAATAGTAGAATACAGGAAATATTTCAGTCCTTAGTTGTACAAACCTGTTTTATCACCAACCTTCCAAGAGGTGAACTCTGAATTCCTTGGGGAATTTCTCTTTCCCTGTTCTGGAAGAGATGGTCTGTTCCATGATGAACACAGCATCCCTTAATGGCTGGAGAGAAACCACATCTATTAATTACACTGAACAAGTAGAGACAGATAATCATGAGCCCGGAATCTCCATATGTGGGAACTGACAAGAAGCGAGATCCCTGAGCTTTAATTTGGTTGCAGACAAACGTAACATAAGCCGGTGTTTTACATAGCCCAACCTCATTTCAGGTAGTCAATAGTTTTCCTTTTTCTGATGTCCATTATGTTAATGCCCATCTTTTGTGTCACTAGCTACAAGTCAGCAACATTACTCAAAAAGAAGATCTGTATCCCTACCTGGAGGATGGTTGCTCCAGACACAGTATTATTTGTAGAATTTTTCCAGGAGCATCACAGTTGGAAGAAGATGCCTCCTACACTCTAATTTTTCACTGATTTTCTCTTATAATATTTTGCAGTTCTATAGCACTTTCAAATGAGGAATTTAAAGTGCTTTACAAACAAACAATTTTTGCCTCCAAACCCCATTATGAAGTTACTAAATATTGTCTCCTTTTACAGATGGGGACATGGGGCTTATTCTTCAGTCTTCATATTGAGTAGACTGTGTTCATGTGTTGAGACCCATTAAAGGCAAAGAGACTGAGTCAGTGGTCAGACGAGATGATCATAATGGTTCCTTCTGGCCTTAGCAGCTATGAGTGCTTCCCAGAATGAGTAATGGTTATAGAATCAGGCCCTCATGCCCCAATCCTGCAAAGACTTATGCAAGTCTTTAATTTTATGCAATTGCATAGTCCCATATATATCAATAATGATAGGGCTAAGTTGTTTTTAATCAAACTATAAGTTATTCCTTTGCATATTAAACCTTGGCTATGGTATTTCTGCCCAGGTTATCATTTCACTATGGTACTATACCACCCTTACATGCCTGGCCAGATCGCCCTTTTTAATTTTAACTACAGATTCAGACACGCAGCAAACACCAATTATTGCTGTTCTTGTTGGAGATGTCAGGTGCAAGTTATGAATAAAAAGATCACTGGGGTTAATACTTGGACTCAGCTGTTTGCAATCTCTCTCTCAATTACAGAAATCTAGTAATGCACAAATGGTTTGTATGCTGAGTATTATAAACAACTCTATGAACTCTTTTGAAGCCACTGACTAAGATGTATTATGCAGTGCAGTCTTTGTGGGGGGAGGAGGGGAACAAACATGTTTCCTGCAACCCTTACAACATTCTTGATCTCTGTAACATTTTATATACAGCTACATAAGGCCAGGGTCCAAAGCAGTGTTCTTACAGACCACAGCAGTGTAGCCTTTAGAACAGTCTAGATCTTAAAATCTTACCAAAGATTCTGTCCTTAAGATTAAAACATTTCCTTCCCAGTCTCCTCTCAGAAGATCAGGCACGGTTAGTTAGAAATGGGTGCTTGTTATATAAATGTACACAGAGTACTGGAGGTTGTCTGGGCAGAAAAATGCATAGTAGCCTTTTTAGATGCTGAAAAGGCATTTAATAGGGTCTTCTTTTTTAAACCCTCATAACTTGCGTATGTTTAGATTAGGGACACATTTTGTACAGTGGATTCAAAACCTAAAGCCTTTGTTAATATCAGTAGCCACAGTTCTTCTATAGTTTTCCTGGAAAGAGGAGCCAGATAGCCTGTTCCCTTCTCTCCACTACAGTGCTTGCCCAGCCAGAGAGTACCTAGTTGCATAATTTCAGAACTGTACCATCCTTCAGGAAGTCCACCTTAAGCACTGCACAGTATGTTCTCTTCAAATCCTAGGTTTTTTATACCTGCAGTAATGAAAGGTATTAGGGACTTTTCAGGCCTGCACCTCAACTAGTCATAAGCTTTGAAGATATCCTTGCATGTCAGATCTCATCCCTTTTCTGATTGCCTTATCAAATGAGCAAAAGAATCAATAATTTACTTCACCTGGATCACCTGGATCGATCAGTCTTCAGCTGTCGTTAAGACTGTGTCAATCACAACACGTCTGCCATTCTTCTCACATTCTTGCCTTTCTTCTCCACGTTCGTCCAAAATGTTTTACAATGTCATCTTCCCACCTTCTTGGAGGCCGACCAGGTGGTCTTTTCTATTCGCGTGGGTACCACTCAGTAATGATTGCGGTCCACCTATTGTCTGTGAACCATGCTATGTGGCCCACCCATTGCATCTTATTATATCTGCTTTCCACAACAATATCTTTCACACCACTGCGTTCTATAATCGTTCCATTTGGGATACAATCCAGAAGGGAAATTCCCAACATAGCTCGTTCCATTGCCCTTTCAGCTACCGACAGCCGCTGTTCTTCTCTCTTCGTTAGTGCCCACGTTTCACTGCTACACAGCATGGCTGGCAGCACTGTTGAATTTAAGATATTTGTACGTGTGGTCTTGTCGATTTTTCCTTTGAGGATGTCCTTGATGGAATTAAACGCACACCATCCTGCCTGAATTCTTCGCAAGAGTTCTCCGTTCATGTCTTGGCGCATATTAACTTCTTGCACCAAATATATGTACTGTTCCACTTCTTCAATTTCTTCTCCTGTTACTGTTATTCAGGCTTTTCGTAAGACGTCTGATTGCATGTATTTCGTCTTGCAACGGTTCATTTTCAGACCAACATGACTGCTTTTCTTGTCGAGTCTTCGTAGTATGCTCTGCAGTTGGTTGGTGCTTTTGGCAATTAGTACGATGTCATCCGTGAATCTGAGATGAGATAATCATTCTCCATTTATATTAACACCACTCCTCCAATTGATCTTGTTCATAACCATTTCAAGGCAGGCAGTAAATAGTTTTGGTGAAATCGTATCTCCTTGCTTTACACCTTTCTCGATTGGGATGCGGAGGGGAGTTTCAAGGAGAGTAATCCAATAATTTACTTAGGCTTCCAATTCCCATTAGACTGCACCAGAGCTGTGACTTAAGCATTGTGACAAAGTTCCTCCTCTACCTTGGTGGGTCCTGCGCTTATTGGCGGTTTTGCTCGCCTCAGAGATCTTCCCCTCTGGTGGAACCCACCGTCCGGGTCAACTCCTCCTGTGTCTAATCAGGAGTTGGGAGGTTTTGGGGGAACTCGGCCCCGCCCTCTACTCCGGGTTCCAGCCCAGGGCCCTGTGGATTGCAGCTCTCTATAGTTCCTCCTGTAACAGCTGCATGACAGCTACAACTCCCTGGGCTACTTCCCCATGGCCTCCTCCAAACACCTTCTTTATCCTCACCACAGGACCTTTCTCCTCGTGTCTGATAACGCTTGTACTCCTCAGTCCTCCAGCAGCATACCCTCTCAGCTCCTTGCACCTCTTGCTCCCAGCTCCTCACACGCACATCACAAACTGAAGTGAACTCCTTTTTAAACCCAGGTGCCCTGATTAGCCTGCCTTAATTGATTCTAGCAGCTTCTTGATTGGCTGCAGGTGTTCTAATCAGCCTGTCTGCTTTAATTGTTTCCAGAAAGTTCCTGATTGTTCTGGAACCTTCCCTGTTACCTTACCCAGGGAAAGGGGACCTACTTAACCTGGGGCTAATATATCTGCCATCACTCTCCTGTAGTCATCTAGCCTGACCCTGTCACACCATATAGCCGCTAACAGGAAAATAACTAGATAAGAAACACTCCTCACAAAAGACTCTTATTTTTGGCCTATACAAAATCCTTGGGCCCGGTTCTCAGTTATTCCAGTCCTGAGGTTGGTGCAGGGACGAGGGGATGCACAAAAGTGGCCCTAATCAATCTTTGTGCTGCAAATATTCTGGGGAGCCAGAGGCCTGCTTGGTCACTGGTGCAAATCAGAGGACCCTCAGGTCTACTATAACTTACATGTTATTTCCCACTGCCCCCTGTGGGCTCTGAAAAGCAATGGACAGTTGTAGGGCAGTGTGGTCTGGCCACACAGTTAGCCGGGCACATGGAGCAGGGCTGGCATGAGCCCTTATGTTGGCTACACATGAGCGAGGGAGACTACCTGACCATGGATTTATTCAAGAGGCTACTTATGCCCCTTTTAGGGCTTATTTAGTTTGCCTGAGTGGCATAAATTGGGCCCCTTTCTGCTACACCTACCACCCCACAGTGGGAAGAACTTAAGAGTATCTGGCAGCAAGACACTGGTAAAGAAATCTCCCTAGAAAATCAGCAGGACACACTTGCCTCACTAAAAGTGGGACAAATTCTACTTTCAGTTATATTGATGTAAATCTGATAAAAGTCCATTGAAGTCTGTGGAGTCATTATAGAGTCACACCAGTGTAAATGACAGCAACATTTCTCATTAGACATTTATACCTCCCTTGTCACCATGGTATCTGAGTTCCTTGGTCCCTGTCTTCCCGTCTTATCAGACCCAATACATATTGCTAAATAGAACTCTCCGCAAATGCTTCAAAATGGCCTGACACATACTCTATCATTGTGTTTAGAACAGTCTAGATGTTGCCAAGTTTTTGACAAAAATCTGTACTGATCCATTCATATCTTATAATAAGGTTGATAGTCTGCCTTTAGTACATGATCCCTCCTAAATGATAGCACTTTGAGATCGAAAAAAAATCAGTGATTCTCCCTGAGATATAGCCCTGTGACAGACAAACTAGAAATGGACTGTCCAATTCCCTGCAGTGGACATTTTGATGTGAGCATTTCTGCAGCCTACTAAGTAGGATATTCTCTTCACACGGTAACCTTTTTGGCAGCACAAAGGACAAGTCAGAACCCTGGCATCCTTTCATTCAACAGATGCAAGAGGAGCTTCAGAATCACTTTCGGAAAGGACAGTATGACAGATATTGCAACTTTCTTTCAACAGACCTGAATGGATGTTCAAAATTCTGTGAATCCCACAGCCCTTGTTGCACATTGTGATTAAAGGATCACTTACCTCTTTTCTGCCACCTCCTTCCCTTGCCTTCGTTTTGAAGGAATTGCTAGATGTATCTTAATTAAGAAGATAGCTAATATAGGATCTGTTAATCTAATATAAGAATACGTATGTCGCCTATCACCATGATGTGTGAGCACCTCAAGGCCATTAATTATTGCATCCTCATCACCCTTGTGAAATATTTAGTTGTTACCTACATTTTACAGATGGGGAACTGAGGCACAGAGCAATTAAGTGACTTTCGCAAGATCACAGAGAAAATTTTTGGCAGAATGGGGAACTGAACCAAGATTTCCTGAGTCCTAGTCCAGGGTCTTAATCACAAGTCATACCTGCAGCATCTTAAGAGGAAGGTCTAAGTACTCTACTCTGGCCAGCCAGTATTGCCAGTGACTGACAATAATATTATGGACTTGGCTTTTTCTCCAATAAAATACATTTAAAATAAATCCTCACTCTCAGCAACATTTTTGCTCTTAATTTTCAACTCTTCATCAGACACACTGTGTAGCCAGGTCACAAAGCCCATCACCCCCTTCCTCTTTACTGCCATTATGCGCCATCATGACCAATTCCCCAGGGTTACCCTGAACTCTTAATAGGTCTGTCTGAGCATCCAGCAACAAAAGGGGAGCACATGGCAGCCACACACACATCATGTTAATGACTTAATTTCTCTCTGTGGCACTGAAAAAAACCCTGACCCTACATAATTGCAGCCCTGTTATTCACGAGTCTTAATTTGTGTGTCTTCATGAATTTTAATGGGCAGTCCATTTTCTTTCCACTAATCCTGCATTACACTGGGAACTTTCACGTACGGATTGCCCTCTTGAGCTCTTTCTTTCCTTCAGCATCTTAGCTGCTGTCCCTGAAGCTACTGTGTTTTGAGATGTTGTCCTCCGTGTTCAGAGCTGGTCTGACAGCTAGACAGCTGAGATTAAAGTGCTTTACAGGACTTTGTCACAAGAGACTGGTGGCTTTGTGCATCCTTGTAAAAAGAAGCAGGCCTGTCTAGTGGGCCCCCTCTGAATAGCACCTCATTCATTTTGTCCATGATTTGCCAAACAAACAGTTGTATCTCGTTCCTTCTTTTCCTTGTGCATGACCCCTTCAGCATCCCTGGGGATAAGCAGCATAATGTTTGGTCCAGTACGTGTCGGTAGGTCTATCATATAATCCTATAGTTTTACAAGTTTCTTTTACCATTTAAAGGGATCCACAGAAAAGATTAGGTCTTGTCAGAGAGGCAGAAGGCCTTAAAATAATTCCCCTTCGACTGAGCTTGTAGAATCTCCACATTAGTATTACTACTATTAGTTAATAAAGAAGTTCTGTATGCAAGCAAAGTATTACTGTTATCTGTACACTGACATAGATGTGCTCAGTGCGCTACAGCCAAGTATTTTATATGATACATTCTTAAAGTTTAAGGCCAGAAGGATTGTTCTGTCATCTAGTCTGACCTCCTGTATATCACAGGCCAGAGACTGTCATGCAGTTATCCCTGTATTGAGCCAATAACTTTTGTCTGACGAGAGCATATGTCCCCCAAAGGCATCCAGACTTGATTTGCAAATATCAAGAGATGGAGAATCCACCACCTCCCTTGGTAGTTTATTCCAGTGGTTAATCACCCATCTCTATCCTGAGGCCCATCTCTACCAAAGCCATTCTGCTAAGAGAATTCAGACCAACACACCCTTGTTTCTTAAGATGCCAGCCTTATACATGATGAATCCTGAGATTTATAGTACAATGTTCAATTAATAGGACACATAGTGCTAGTTGCCTAATGATTAGAGCAAGGAAGACTGCTGAGTCCTATTCCCAGCTCTGCCACTCACTGTGAGGCCCTAGACCGGGGTAGTCAATAGGCGGACCGCGGGCCAAATCTGGACCACCAGACACTTTTGAACATTTCCTTATTATCATTATTGTTGTTTTGTTATTATTATGTTCTCTGGAGTCTATCCTTGATTATACGTTGACCAAGACATTTGTACCATGACAAAAATAATTGGCTACCCCTGCCCTAGACAAATCAATCCACTGCTTTATACTTCAGTTTCCCTATCAATAAAATGGATACAATACACAGGGGTGTTTTGAGTTTCATTATTATTTACTATTTGTATTACTGTATACCTAGGAGCCCCTGTCATGGACCAAGACACCATTGTGTTAGGTGCTGCACAAACACAGAACCAAAAAGATGGCCCCTGTCCCAAGGAGTTTACAATCTTAGTATAAAAACAAGAGATACTAGATGGATACAGACAGATGGGGGAGTATAAGTAAACAATGAGAGAATATTGGTCAGCACGATAGGCAGCTCCCAAGCAGCCGAACTGTGGTCAAGTTTTAGCGAGCAGCATGGCAACGGTGTTTTGAGGAGGGATTTAAAGGTAGAGAATGAATTTGCTTTGTGGATGTTTACTGAGAGTGCATCCCGAGAACGGAGGGTTAACTAATGTTTGGGAAGCACTTTGAGATCCTCCAATGTAAGGAACTACATATAAGTCTGAAATATCCTTATATGCAAACAATTATACAAAGACACAGATCTTACTCCAGGGGAGGGTTCTAGAAGAATCAGAATTCCAAGTAAAACAAAGTATCTCGACTGTAAACTGAGCAGATTTTTAAACTTCCCTGGGAAGCAAAAGTTGGTCTTATCAGAAAAGCATTGTACCTATGCTTTAACTTGAAAGAACATAAAGAGGATATAGGCAGATCTATTCTCTTCCACTTAGCGTGAATGGGATTTGGCAGGACATTCCCATTAGCACAGAACATACCCATTAAATATTTAATACATTTTGT